CGCCCGCAGCGCCTCCCCGGCCGGGCCTGCCCGCCGCCTTCCCGCGCCCGGAGGCCTCGGGGCTCGTCCCGCCGCTCCGCCCGCAGCCATGTCCTCCGCCGCCCGCTTCGACTCCTCGGACCGCTCGAGCTGGTACGTGGGGCCGGTGTCGCGGGCGGAGGCGCAGACGCGGCTGCAGGGGCAGCGCCACGGCATGTTCCTCGTGCGGGACTCGTCCACCTGCCCGGGCGACTACGTGCTCTCCGTGTCCGAGAACTCGCGCGTCTCCCACTACATCATCAACTCRCTGCCCAACCGCCGCTTCAAGATCGGCGACCAGGAGTTCGAGCACCTGCCGGCGCTGCTCGAGTTCTACAAGATCCACTACCTGGACACCACCACCCTCATCGAGCCAGCGCCCAGGTGAGTCCCGCCGCCGCACGGCCCTCTGCTCTGCCAGGTATCTACATCTGCACGAGCACTCGATGCTCTTCCAGGTACCTACATCTTCATGAGCACACGATGCTCTTCATCATCTACATTTGCACAAGCACGGAATGCTCTTCCAGGTGTCTACATCTGCATGAACACACAATACTCTTTCAGTCATCTACATCTGCACGAGCACAGGATGCTTCTCCACATATAGTGTGCCTGCTTGAGCAGGAAGGTTGGACTAGATGATCTCTAGAGGTCCCTTCCAACCTTGAATATTCTGTGATATAGCCCATCCACACAAACACCCAACCCTACCCCATAAGCTCCAAGGCACCGTGTACATCGCTACCCACCACCCCACACAATTCMTCTTGCCTTGGGTGGGGCCTCGCTTTGTATCAGCCTCCTCTTGCCCTTGTCCCACTCTTCCCAAACGGGTCAAGGAGCCTGCTGGGAGCTCTCRTGGTTGGGGTACAGGCTTGGGGCTGCCTGTGACCACGCGTTGGAACGGAGCAGGACAGGCCTCTGCGCTCTTAGACCCTGCCACCCTGTCGAGTTAGTTCTCATGCACTCTAGGACAGCATTTCCCTGACTTCAGCTTCACTCCCTGCCCCCCAAAGAGCAGAAAATGTTAATAATTATCTCAGTTCAGTAGCGGATCTGTATCTCCATGTGCTGCACCAAGACATGCTATTCTAGGAGGATGGGAAAATATGACATAGCTATGAGCTGGTTCTTTGTTCCCAACACGGGACATACCTGCTGCTTGTATCACTGAACTATTTTAGATTGACTGATAAGCCTCTTCCTTACTTTTGGTTTATAAAACCTTTCTCAGCATCTTTTAAAGCTTTTCAGCCTTCCTATACATAATGCATTGAAAATAAAAGCTAGATAAATACCTGTACACAAAAAAAATTAGTTACCTGCTAAATTCTGTACTTTAAGATGTTCCTATCATTTGCATATTAACTAAGCTCTTAAGGAGAGAAAAAGAAAAGAGATATCTAAGCTTTTTAATTATGTTTTAAACTTTGTTTTAAATATAGTCATGGTCTTAACAGTCATGAATATCAGAAGCTGGCAATTTAACAAATGTCAAATTCTAGAACTCAGATGGTCAATTTATCTTTTTTTAAGCAAACCTGTCAAATGATTCAAGGGATTTGACAAGTCATTTGCTTCTAGAAGTCTTAGAGCTGTTACAAAGTCTGCAGTATTGCACTTGGGCTAGAGAAATGGATAACTTAAGCATTCACTCATCTCTCACAGTTGCAAGGATACATGATGGAGCTGCCAAGCATTATGCACATGTTTAAACTTGTGGATGGTTGGAAAGAAGAAACCTACATAAAAAAAACTACATTGAGGCAATCCTTGTGCTTACCTCAGCTTTTGCCTGACTATGGCTTTGCTTTTCATAAAATAAGAACCTATTCTTAGTCATGTATGGCAGTAACTTTTTTTTGCTTTCACAACCGACTTAAGTTTGATGTCACTTATCTAAACCCGCMTGGGTCACTTCCCATTTAAAGACTTTTGTCAAACCTATTATGAACATACCAGAACTACATCATTTCAAGCTCTCAAATGCATATAGGAATTGATGGTTCCCTTGTATACACAGACAGATTTCAAAATGTGTCTGCTGTGGACTGACAACCTTTTTAAACAGTAGGATTTATTTGGTGGCTTTGTTCAAAGAGTTTAAACCAAAAATATCCTATTAGAAAAACCAATTACATGGTTGGTGGTTTAAAATTCTGCTTAAAATACACTTCCGGCTTACAGGMGAAGTAGAGGTAGCATTTCCTGATTTTKTTGTGTGTTTTTAAGATAATGAAGTAAACTTAAGAGGAGGCAAGTATGTGCTTCAGAATTGCTACTGCTTTGAGTTTTTTTTAAAAGAAATACCTTATTCAGGTACTTGCCTTTTTGAAAGCTGTTTTCTGATACCATGAAGAACAATATGAAGGGGACAATTCTCATGATGGATTTAAGATGTTTATGTATAGCAATTTTAGCTGCAGGAGATATTTTATGCTTACAAAACAATTGTAAAAGGCACAGACTTTCTGTTTAGCAGCAATAATGAGTTTTGACCATCATTGCAGATGTGCCTCAGCTCTTGCTTGTGCTGAGTGACTGCTCTGAAGTTCCCTTCCCAGCCCTGCTTTGACTTCTGCAGGATACCTCAAAGCAGCAAATTATACTCCTCTTTAAGGTTTCTGGAATATATTTAGGTGATAGACATTTAGCCTCCAGTATATTTTGCAAATAGCAGAAGAAATTTGAATTAGTCTAATTGCAGCCTTGCCATTCTTGCTGTTGTAACATAGATAACATTATATGGGACAAAGCAGAGATAACATTATATGGGACAAAGCAGAAATGTTTTGAAGATAACTATAAAAACTATGGTGAAAAGGTCAAAGTAGTTTCATGTATTGAAGCTACTGCTATTCATGTAGCAATCTTGTATTCTCATAGTGAAGTGACAGTATTAGGCAAATCAAGGGCAAAGTGATAAGCAATGTTAATAAATGCTATGTTGAGATGAATAAAGCAAAGAAATTTTTCTGGATTTTTCTTTTTTTAAAACTTCTTACGCATTTCCTAGCAGTGAGTGCAGTATTGTGTTGCATTTGCTAGGAAGATATTACTTTTAGGTTATTGGGTATTTACATACATAAATTTAGAGGAGTCTTTTTCTGTTCAAATATAACGGTCCCTTTAGAGAGCAAGTTGGCCCCAAAATCCTGAATGTAGACTGGTTTCCCCTTCCCAAAGGTAGRGAACTACCTATAGTACCAGCATCAACACTGGACACCTAAGTTTTAGAAAACATTAACTAATGCTTTATCATACTTTYCTGTAGCTTTTGCTTCCTTTTCCACTATATTCCCTCAAGTCTGTCSTAAAGTTACTGATTTCATAGAAGTGGATACGGAACAAAAAAACCAAACAAACAACAAGGGGACTATCTAGCTCTCCAAATTTCTCTCCTCTAAAGGTCACTCAAATTTATTTCACTTATTTCCTGTAAAAGTGAATATCAACAATCCTCTTTTTATAGGTATTCTGCTGTACAAGTGGGTAGTTAGTAGAAATACAAGACAGTAACTATTGATAATACTTTCCCCCCACCCTCAACTCAGGTATCCAAGTCCACCTATAGGATCTGGAACTGTTTCTACTCTGTCTACTGTGGAAGAAAATGTGGAATATGTTCGGACTCTGTATGACTTTCTTGGGAATGATGCTGAGGATCTTCCATTTAAAAAGGGTGAGATACTGGTAATCATGGAGAAGCCTGAAGAACAGTGGTGGAGTGCCAGAAACAAGGATGGTCGGATTGGGATGATTCCTGTTCCTTATGTAGAAAAGCTAGTCAGATCTTCTCTCGGGAAGCATGGAAACAGGAATTCCAACAGTTATGGTATTCCAGAACCTGCCCATGCTTATGCTCAGCCTCAGACCGCAAGTCCCCTTCCCTCAGTATCCAGTACACCTGGAGCAGTGATCAATCCTCTACCATCAACACAGAATGGACCAGTCTATGCCAAAGCTATCCAAAAAAGAGTACCCTGTGCTTATGACAAGACTGCGCTTGCTCTAGAGGTAAGTTCTTTCCTCTAAGTCTCAAAAATTARAGTAATTGGTCATTGGTATGGGTGACTACATATAGAGTCTGTATTTACACTAAGGGACTAACAAGTTCTGTTACATTCTGAGTAAAGATCAACCAAAAATGCTTCGTCTATACCACTTCCCTTTAGAAAGTGGTCTAAGCTACTTCAGAACCTATACTTAATTCATCCTATTTTCTTGCCTGTTGAGCAATGTAAATATGCTGTAGGAGTAGTAAGCAGTATATATACACACCTTTGGTGGGGGAAAGTGCTGCTGAATGACTTTGCTTCTGTGCCTCATCTTTGGGAAGGGATGTTAATAGTTGCAGTATTCCAGGTTGAAAACTGGCAGCAGCATCCTTCAGAAAAAGGTAAGGATTGCTGGTAAATATACTGTCTTTTTCTTGATCCTCAAGTGGAATATGAGGTGCAACATAAGTATTGGTGACAAGAGCCAAAATATAAACAAGCAGGGATTAAAAAAAATTTACTGGAGTACTCCAATCCCATTATTTTGGCTTTCAAAAATGGAATTTGAAAAACATTAAGAACTAATTTTTTTAGTTCCATAAGATGAATGGCTGCAGTGTAGCCTTRGTGTTGATGCTTTAATAACTTCATGTGCTTATTTTTTTTCTTTTTTCAGGGATGCATTAAAGCTTAATTTTTAAGTAATTAAGAATTTATATTACAATTCTAGTTAAACTAATATTAAAAAATGATTTCAGCAAGTTTGTAAAAACATCTAGAACACTGAGTCTATTTCAGTTCTTTGATTATACCCRAGTCTAATTAAGCCGTACTTCAAAAAGCATCTCACCTGGTACAGTGCTACTGGCTGTCATTCTCACAGATGAAATTCAAATGTGCCAGCAGATTTCAAGCAGCCAACACAAAGAAACAAGCAAAGGTATTAGATGGTATTTTTAAAAGCACTTCTCCTTAAGTAATAGTAGTTTAAAAAAATACCCTTGAACTTTTTCTGTTGCTTTCTCTCAGCTAGTTTGCAAGTTAAAACTCWTATCTATAGGTAATATTTTTGACTAGAGCTTGAAAGATTATATGAACATGATATTTATAAGAATTATGCTCACTCATTTATAAAACCTTTATAACTAGTAACTCTTATGATGTTAGAAGTTTAAAACACATCACAAGATTATTCTTGGGTCTTAGGAAAGTTAGCAGCCTGTTACTCATGAACAATGTTTCATAGTCATCTAGGGTAGAATTAATTCAGTGCCAAATGCACTGTAGAGAAGATTCCTGCCAAAATTGTTCATACTTCTGAAAACTTAATAAGTATTTGATTTTGTTGTGGTATTAACATATCGTGGAATTACTTTAGGGAATTTACTGCACAGTAGCAAGACACTTGGAGGGATGACACTTTGCAAGCCAGATTTTTCTCATTTACTACTTAATTACATAGTTAACTCCCTCATTTTAGGTACCCTCCTGTACTTGTAGGATTAACTCTGAACATCATGTAGACTGAATTGTTTTCAAGTTTAAATTGCAGAAATTGCCTAAGAAGTTTTCCTCCCCTYTGCTGAAATTTACATTGCTTTTTGCCCTGTGACTTTGCATTTACCACCACTACTAGTCCATGTGGTCTATTTCCTTCACAGATTTACTTTGGTCACACTGAAGCTTCCTAGACGACTTCAGAAACAGAGCTATTTTTAAATAGCTTGTTGGTTACAGCTTCTGCATACCCATCCATGCATAGAGAACTTCAGCAGTCTCATTATAGAAGCATTTTTTGCTTTTGTAATCTCTGCTGCTCTTGAACTTCACTCTCATGATCTTAATTTGCTTGCCTAATACTTTTTGRGCCTGTGATCTATTAATCCCAACTGTGTCACAGCTCTGCATGTCACTAAGCCTGAGCCATTTCTGGTCACAGATCAACATTCTTGAAAATAGCACAGTTGACTTAGACTAGGAAGTTTTATTTATTTATTTAAGAGCACTGAAAGCAGCTAGTGGCAAGATGACAAGCTGTGATAACGTTTGGGGAAAGAAAGCTAATGGTCTTTTCAGCATAATCCAATTTCACATACTCTTCATTAGTACAGGTATACTGTAAATTACAGTTTAACTACTATTGATGGAAAACTTTATTGGCATAAAGTAATTAYACCTTTATTGACTGTAATCTCACTTAAACTGATAAAACAATATGAAAGCAAAGTATTTGTTCACTGGCTTTATCTTTATGAGGTCAGCACACAAACAGTCCTTATCGAGATTAGAATATCATCTGGAATAAGTCTTTTGCATGGTAGTCTGCTAGACTTCCTTTTAAATGGAAAGAGGTTATTCTCCAGTGTTTAGCTTGAGAATGGGACACATTCTTTGCTTGCAAGTCTATTTTCTATCACAGAAATTTTAAGAAAAAAAATCAAAGATTCATTCCATTTTAGAGAGGAGGCTGGAAAGCATAATTCAGTTATCAAAAATGAGCTTTTTATGTGAAAATGTATAGCTTTGTCAAGATTTGTGTAGTTCAATGATGACCGATTGTAAATGCTATTTCAAAAGTGAACTAAATGACAGTTTAAGGATAAAATATGCGAGTGCAGTTTTCCTGTAAGGCTACAAGAATGATTTGGTGACATGTATTACACTTTGGACTTTATTRGACTAAAATTGTTTAGCATTCCTAGTTATTTTACTGAAGTGATTAAGTCTAGATCTTGACTGGGTACTACTGCATTAGATTCTGTATGTTTATTCTTCAAATTAAGAGTTTATAGAGCAACCTGTTCATAAGTTAAAATCTAAATTTTAAATAGCTACCATCTCAGAGTACATAACTTTATACATATAAATGTAAATACGGGTAAATCACTAAAAACTGCCATATAGAATCTCCCCACACTAGTGAATARTTAAAGCCTATGAGAAGTTAATTGTGTTGAGATTTACACACTACTCTTGTCAATTGACAAAGTTACCTTGCCAGTTCCATTTTTATTAATTTGATTAAATTATGAAGTTTCACATTGCAGCTTAGCTAGCTAAGCTAGCATTATTACTAACATCCAGTTCTTTCAAGGATACTGAACAAAAATTTCAGTTTTTTTCAGTCATTTACTTCTAGCACAGAGSCTAAAAGCTCCCTTCCTTCCGGGTCCGGTAGAGGAAGGAATATGAAAGACAGGAATAGTGTCCTGTATTTATTGGGACTGTACATTACAGGGTTGTATTCTGCAGTTTTGATCCTTCTCTTTGGGAGAGCTATTAATCCTACATTCAAAGGTTACAGAGGATACCTAAAATTCATCCCTTGCTTAAAATGCTAAGAGCCAAGATTCCTTGTCACTATTGCTATGCTACAAAGTGAAATCTATTTGAAATTCTCACTTTTAATAATTCTGTAATTCTGAGTGATTAAACTCATTTTTAAGTTGAGATTTAGGAGATGAGCTACAACTTCAAAGGAACTGGATGTAAGGAACCAGAAGACAGGAGACCAGTGCAACAGCAGCCAAGGTTTCTACCTGCATATRTTTAAATAATGTTTTACATATACTCCAAGTACTGTAACAGCAGCACAGTAGACCACTTTAAGTGCAGTAATAGTGTTGAAATCCATCTCCAGACTTAACACGACAATTTTTATTAGGAAAATTCAMATTCTATTTAAACCATATTAAGACTTTGATAACATCATTTTTATAGTAGATGATAATGGCTCTTTCAAGACTAACAGCACTAAAGTATTGGGTAGTTTATGCTTGCTGTATTAAATATGAACTCGTATTTGTTTGTTAGTATGGATTCATTGTGTCACTGAAAGTTTTGGCAAAATGAATATCCATTCGCCATAATTATGTAACTATTTCTCTTGAGCATGTTGCAATTAGGTTGCAATTAACTTTCTTTTGAAAAGAAAGTCAAGACAAGTAGGACAAAGTGTGCTAGGAGCAGAAATCTGTTAAGAAATTAGGCTACTTTTTTACTAGACAAATAACTTTGCACTTTTCTTACGTCAAGGAAAAGTAGCATTACTGCATTAAACGTTAAACTGTAGTAGAACCATGTGATGAATATTTTACCCAAAATCTAGACCCTGTACTTGTATAGCTGTCAGTGTTGTAGTGGATTTCTAGATGTGATAATTACTGCATTAAAAACAATGCTGACAGCAGRATTCCTGTACCCTTGCTCTGATGTGCACCAGTTTTTCAATATGCTCCCTTAGAAAACTCAGACAGTTACTCTGGAGACTTTGTGATCTTAATCTTCTTGCCATTTCCTTTCCTGGTCAACTTAAGTTATTTATAGTTCCCATCATGATGGCATTTAGTTCCTCACTATTTAATACACATTCAATTCTGCTTGCAGAGTTTGCTTTCAGAAGAAATTGAAGCAGTAGGGCTTACTAAARTTGCTAGAAATCTGTGTCATAACAAGAAACTTAGTCCAGACATCAAGTTCCAAGTATTTGTCACCTCAAATTAGTCATTCTTGCTTTTTAAAGAGTATGGATAACCCTGACAATATCCCATGCTGCAGAGATTTAGTGGAGCTCCAGAACAATTGTCTATGTTAGGTTGTCACCATTGTGGCTTGTGTGCAGTGCTGACAGTTAGACAGCACAGTTAGAAGGAGACAGGCTACCATAATCTAACAAAAAACAGTCCTGTGTCTGTGGTGCTGCAGCCCCAATTTTGGCAGTTGTCCTAGCTGTACTTGAACTGCAAACCTAGATTGTTTTCAGCCACTTTCGGATGAGCTGGACCCATTAATTGGGTCTTTAGTGCTTCTATGCTGTTCTACCTGCCTTAACGTTCAAGAATGGTTACAAGGTTTTCCTTCAATCTAAACGGCTTGATCCTCTGGTTTGGAAAGCAAGCCATTATTCTGGCATACAGCATCCAAATGGAGGGATAATAAAGCTGAGCAAAGCTGTTTTATCAGCCTTTTGGTTTTTTGAATCTGCCAACAGTTGAACACCTGCTCCTTCAGAATGTCAATTTGTCATGTTTTCTGTACAAATGAACTCTCCCTCTTTCGTTTGACTCAGCCTTTTATCTGTTTGGGACCATTCAATTTCCAGTAATTTTATGGTCGAACCCAGTTGTACTTCATTCTCCATCAGAACAGGCAGCTGATTTCAACAAATACTTCTTTATTTTTAGCAGTACTGCTGATACTACCCAAGTTTATTGTGACACCAGCCAGAATGAAGGCCTGAGCTTCAACTGTTATGAATTCTAGACAGCAATGCTATAGCTCTTTCTATATTTTCTATAATTCTATAGCTCTATAATTTTCTATAATTTCTATAGCTCTTGACCCAGTGGGCTGGAGGAATGATTTAGAGTCCTAATACATTTTTATCTCTTTGAACTTGTTTTAAAACTTAATCAACCATAGAACATAACATACAATTGTTGTTGAAATATCCATAAAATTCTAGTAGAACTAATTTGCCACGGCTGACAACACACTTCACAGTGTACAAATCAGCTCCAGCTAGATGAAAGATAAGGAAGAGTCTAGAGTGAATGAAGTAACCTTCTCTATTGACACGTTCCACAGCTTGGATTTGCCCAGGGTTTTTTAATTCATGCTGCAACAGGGACATAAGAGGGTGCTATCTAAATATACATTTTGATGTTATCATTCGGGTGGAGCCGAATAGCTGCATTTCGGAAGGATTACTCATTTCAACGCTTAATACTTCCATCCAGTGATGCTAGCATGACACGCTTTACAAGTGAATTAACTTATCCAAGAGATGCTGAGGCTAAGGAAATATCATGCTAATTTAGCGATAAGGCCCATGAGCTGTCTGGAGTCATACAGGAAGCCTGTGGCAGAGATGAGAACAGAATCAGGTCTTCTGACTGTGTCCTGTGCCTAATCATAAGACAATCCTTCCGACTGCCTTGAAGTGTTCTCCAAAAAAAGTGCTAGTTTAAGGGGAAACGTCAGCTCAGCCCAAGAAAACTGTAGAAGCTTTAGGAAGGATTTATCAGGTACTACTTTTAGCTAATGCATGGCAGGGGTGAGGGGGAGGCACACAGATTCTTTGCAACACTGGCAAAATACACATCTAAGATGAGATGCAAGATGTACTGTCATGACATCAAGGTTCCTTCCCATCATCTTATTTCAACATTCTAATGCATTGAGTGCCCTTAGGCAACTTTTTGTTTGTTTTTAAAAAAAGCAGGGGAGGGGAAGAAAACACAGCATAGCACAGAGGATGCTCAAAACCTTTCACTTAAAACCAACCAACCAAAAAAAAAAACACACAAAAGCACACACCCCACCACACACACACACACACACTCAAACAGCACGCTGAGTTATTTCAAGTCAATTTACTCTTCCTGCCTGTCATATGGAAGTTTGAGATCTTGTCCTACCTCGCACTTCTTAATGGCAAGTACTGACTTTCATCAGCTTCGCCTGCCTCACACTGTAAAGAACATTTTGCATTGTTCACTTGCATGGGAGTTTATTGCAAGATGCTGGACTTCCATTGTAAATATTTGTCTTCCAGAGAAATAAGACTTCCAAACCTATTCACATTATAGAAGGATCAAATTGAAGCATTAACTTTTTGGAACTTGGGGGGAAAAAATAGCAGATTGATCTCTGCAGCACGTGAGCAGAATTATCAGGCTCTCAGAAAGTACGAAACTGCTTTTGATCCCAAGTAGGGCATAAACTCCCCACCCCTCCAGCTTGGATCAGTCTTCAAAGTTTATTTAAATCCAGCAGTGAGTATTTTTAGATATTAGCCTTTTTTTAGAGTGACATTTGTTAAGTTCCTGTTTGAGCCTTGTTACTAAATCTTTGCTTAACCTTTCCGTTTTGTTCAAAGCGTAATAGGTTGTGCTTTTGAACAAATGCACGCTAGAGCATTACAAGTGTTCCAAGTGTGACAATTTTGTATTTCTGTAAGGAGCAAAACATCAGCAGTGGGGAAAAGACATTTTGCTTAGGTGTTTAATTCCATTTCCAAAAGGAGTTTAACATGTTAGACTTATTTAAAAAGAGATAGCATGATGAGTGACTGCCTAGGAGTTCATTTATTCCAGCATCTTCCATTTCACTTTTTTGAAAAACTCTCAGGAAAAAGATCTATTGAAATAATAGTGGCTAATTTAAATAGGCATCACATCCTCTAGCAACATGCTTTCTGCAAAATAGTTTGACCTCAATTTAGTTTTATCTACCTAAAAAGACAAGTTAGAGTCTAAAGCCCTGACCAAAGAAAGTGAAGACCTTTTTCTAGGCAACGCTATCAAACCATAACTCTACAAAATAATTGGAAACTTGAATTTGAGCCTGGCTTGGGCAGAAACTCATCAACTTTTGACTGTTGGACACAGSTCAGCGCTTCCTTTTGTGAAGAAATGGGTCATTAGTTGCTAATGTTGCTTTTCTAATATTTACTGTAGTTACCACATAGATGCAATTAAGTAAACAGGAAGGGAGGTGGAGAGTTAGAGCTGCTGCAACAGACCACATGTTCAGCTGTTCTGAAGCATTCAAACAGTAGGAATAAAGGAGAAATGGACTGTTTAGCTAAACACTACTCATTATGTTGGATATTCTGCTTCGCGAGTTGTCCTAGTCTGAATAAAAAGATAAAAATAACCAGCATGAAATAATGGAAGAATAGCATCTTACCATATGGACAAACATTTTTTTTGTCATAGTTAGGACCTTCTCACCTTTCACCACAAATAGGAAAAGACATAGTTATGGTAGGAAAGGCCTGACCCACAATTACTCCAAACGCTCCATCAGAAAGCAGAGGTGAAAACAGCAAATAAAATTAAAATCTTAATACCTAATTCTTAGTAAAAACCATTCAAAATGGTTCATGCTGGCTTAGAAAGTCTATCATTTTAGATGGCTATAGAAGCTTCTTAAACAGTACTATCCAGAACTAAGAATTGCCATAAAAATTTCCCTAAAAAAAAGAAATCCCTTTTAAATTGGGCCACTAATGCTAAAACCAGTGAGTACTCTGCTTCCTTAAATAAATATTGCATCTTGTTATTGATAGTAGCTTTAGTGGTGTCAGTTTATACYAAGACATCTGCACAGTTTTGCACCATTTACTGTTGGAAAAGGTATAATTCCATGATTTGTGTGAATGTAAATTAGATCAAAATTTTCTTTTTGAAGAACAAATGCAGAACAGCAGAATTTTTTGAAAGCAACTTTTCCCTTTGAAACTTATACCAAAAAGCAGGTTTTTCTCCTCCTTTCTCTGTCCTTTAATGGAGTCAGTGTTTGTTGTTCCTCTTGATTTGTATAAAAGATGTCAGATAAGATTCTTTACTTTTTCTTTTTTTAAACTTAAACAGGTCGGAGATATTGTGAAGGTTACAAGGATGAACATAAACGGTCAGTGGGAAGGAGAAGTCAACGGGCGAAAAGGGCTGTTCCCCTTCACACACGTCAAAATCTTTGACCCTCAGAACCCGGATGAGGCCGAATGATCCCCTTTGCCTGGTTCACACTGCTGCTTCATTTCCCTGGCTATCATTGGCATTGTTTGAGGTGGGATGATGACTTAACGGCACATTGCTAGCATTGCCCATTTTCCAGCTTGCTGCAGTTTGACAGTTCTTTTAACATACATTTGGAATACGTCACAACTGAAGTCACTGCCTGACCTTCGTACCRTGGTTGCACCATCCAGGTGATAATTTCACTTTTAGAACTGTATCAGGCCTTAAGCTGGAGGAGACTGAACCATACAGATACATAGGAGACAAGTATGGGGGGAAAAAAAAAGACTTTCCTGTTAAGACTTCCATGGACTCACTTTGGCCTACACAGTAAGAAGAGCCCTAATCCTAGATCAAACATARAACTCGTGCGTTACTGTCCAACAAAAAGCAACAACAAAAATGCAATTTTAGGACTGAAAAAGACTTAGTTTTAAGAGAAACTGTCCTAAAGTAGTATATTCAAGATAATGGTTTCTTTTAAAGGACAAGAATCAAAGCTTACATATGCTCAGCAGTTGTATTAGAAGCTGCTCCTCTGTGAGCACTCTCAAGCTTGTTGTTGACCTTCCTGAAACAGTGTATGTTAAATGCAAGTAATCATTGATTGAGCTGCATTGAAGCCAAGGCAATTATTTATAAGGAAACTTAGGAGGAGTTGATACTCATAGCCTGTTTTTGATATACTTAAAGCATTTCTGTTGACTTTGCAAGCACTAACTATAAAATGAGCTTTAAAGGGAAACACTTAGGCCTGGTCTACTTGCAGCTCTTCTGCAATGCTTTAGTTTTACTAAASTAGAACTGCTCATCACTAAGCTGCTGCTTGGTAGGCAGACTGATCAGATTGCAGTAGTTGGGAAGAGGGGGAAAGGAGTGCTACAGAAGAGTTTTTTAAGTGCTTATAAAATCCTCCTATTTAAACAAGTAACGTCTTACACCCATTTCCCCACAGACCCCCTTTTCTCTTCCCTTTCCTAGGGGTGCCAGTCCCAGCTTGCTAAAAGCTCATTTGCAAACACAGTACCTTGTCTCCCCAGGGTGTCTCCAGGTCTCCTCACTTCCTCTCTGGCTCCACAGGCTTCTTTATTTTCTTGCTTACACCACAACCTTCCCCACACACCTCCAMCTGATTCCCTCTCCTCCTAAGGCCTTTGGCTCTGGCTTTTATCAGCCCCAGGTCTCGCCCCCTCCCAGCATCCCCGAAAAACTGGTTAATTGGAATCAGCTGCCTGAGTTCCCCATGTGGCAAATTGAGGCTCAGAGTGGAGGAGGCCACAAAGGTCTCTATGGCCAATATAGGGGTTTCTGCCCCTTTTTCTGTACCTAATGGATGCTGCTGTAATTGTATTTACAGCAGGGATTTGTATGACCACAGCTGCGTGAGTCCAGTTAGAACCATGTGGCTTAAGTCCTTAACCTGCAAATGGGCCAGGAAAGCTTAGGTGCAGGGGCATTTTTTGCCACCCTCTTTAAATGTGTTTTCTAGGCGAACTGGAATGCTCTTTTWAAAAAATAATTGAACACTGAATTAACAGAATACATGTATAAGCAAAGACTGTAATCACAAAACCTCCCTTTTCAGGTTAAAGAAAAATGTGTGTTGTAGAAGCTGGCAGCAAAGCAGCTGCCCTCATGCATCCGGTTTTCAGCTTTTGAAGGGAGCTGATTATAGCAAAATTAGAAAGTACAGATACTTGCAGAATTTTACTATTTGTTTTATCAAATTATATAAAATGTATCATCTTCTGTTGCTGCATGTGTTCTTGTTGATTTAGGTCTCTTGATCCTAATAAAAGCAAGTTGTTTTTAGCTTCATATTGAAGTGCCGTGAGATTCTTAAGTGGGAGGCACTGAAGAAATGCAAAGCTGGCATTGACAACAAGAGATACAAAACCCTGCTTTAAATAAAAGTTCCTGATTTCACCTAGTAGCCCTTTTTCTCTAGCGTTGACCTGAGTCTAGGAGTTCTTGTAGAGCATTTCACTGCCAAATTAACTGTGAAGTAGAGTAGCATTGACTGAAGTGTTTGGTGCTGTAGGAATAATTCTTGACAATAGGCATTGACAGCGTGTCTTGCAATGAGGAGCTATGCAGCTATCGTCTTAACCGAAGAAAATCACTCTTATTGCACGCCCCAGCTCCAAGTTTACTCCATAGGTTGTACTACTGAAAGTCATCTTGTGAATACAGACCCTGCGCTAAGCTGAGTCTACTGCAGAGGAATGTTATTGCAGACCTGACCTAGTTATAGGCATCTGTCTTCAGAGGCCCGGCTGTGGGATTCTTCCTTTGCATAGTAAAAAGTCCGTAAATACTGTGAGATTTGCTTTTTAACACAGCTTTTTAACGTGGGGTGTTTTTCACTAGAATGAACATCCTAACGCTTGCCCTCCTTGAGCAGGGGGCACATTTGGAACATAAAGCATTGCTTTTCACTTAATTAATGCTCGAATGCTGCAGAAAAGTGAAACGTTTTCCTTCCAAACTATGCAAAACGCGTGTGTAGTGGCATCTGATGCAAAGATAAGAATTCTGGAGTTCCTGGGAACCTGGTTTTGGGCCGCTGAGGAGGAGTTTCCTCTGGGTAGCAGAGGCTGCTTCGCTCGCGTCGCGTGCGGCTTGACCGTAGCCTCCGAACAGGCTACACCACCTGCAAACCTGCATCAAAAACACCCTGGATATTTCCCTGTAAGACAAGTATTTTCATACAAAACCCGCATCTGATGAGTCTTGTGTTTCCCTTGGAAGGGCTCCCCGGGTTCTCGGTCGCTTGTGGCTTGTTTCCGTGCGCGCTGGCCCTTCCTTTAGGAAGCTCCGAGGCAGAGCCGTGGGGCTGGCTCCCGGCTGAGCCCGCTCAGGCTGCGGGTGCTGCCGAGCTGCTTTGCTCACGCGGTGCCAGGGCCGCTCTCGCCCCGAAAGGCTCGCTCGGCGACTCCCTCCTCGCGTGTACATGTGTAAATAGACATTGAYGCCTCTGACCGGTCCGAAGGGTTAAAGGAAAAACTCGTTTTAATCAGTGTCCAGCACTGGATGAGCGATAATTTAATTCACGATTGTTTACAAATTGGGAAAGAAGAAACAAAAGGGAATAGCCTGTTTGGGTTGGGGCTCTGAAGAGCCTGAGCATTATTTTTGTAAAGGGAAAAACAAGCATTCTTCGTGCCATTTCATGTGCCTGTAATGTAATTTTTTATATTGTATTAACATCCTGGGAATGAGTGGGCTGCCTTGGTTTTCTAGTCATGTTTTTCAAGCATTTTCCTCAATACCTGCATTGGAAAGTGAGACCTGCCTAAAAGGCTGCCTTTGGGGACCAGTGGAAGCAATTTCTTCTCTTAGAGCTGCCCTGTTCTGGTTGCTGGTGTGAACAGAAACCGTGGTGGGCGACGAGGAAACGGTTATTGCAGTGGGCAAGGTGGCCTTGTACTCGAGACAGTCTTCACTGTGTAAACTTTAAAAACACAATATGTAATTTAAAGACCATGAACTTCAGGCAATAATATTAAGTGTAAGCTTTTAAAGTTTATTTTGGGGATCATAGCTTGTTTTATTTTTTGTGCTCTAAAATTAACAGTATTAAATGAATTATATTCTTAGAATATATGGAGTGTCTTTTCTTAAGATTAGTGCCTTTTAATTTCTTACTCCACTTATTTCATAGAATTGGTCCCAACATCAAGCCGCTGTTTTGTTTCGTTTTGTTTCCAGTGCCCTGTTTGTACAGTCTAAATAAAACTTGCATCAACTTCCAGCATTACTTGTTGTCTTTAGTCTTAAAACCTTGCTAATATTCGCAGGGTATTTAAGTTCTCGCTCTGTCCTTCTCTTACTTTAGTTGGGGATACTTTTGGTGGGGGTTTTTGGTATCCTCCAGGTAAAGCTGTAACAAGATCCTGGAAKTTGGGAAGATCTCGTGTAGGAGGAAGACTTAAGATGAGACTGGACACGATTACTTGCTGAAAGCGAGAAGCATACAACACTTGTGTTGTTTTCCCAGTCTCTCTCGGTGGGTACAGTGCAGCCCAGTGTTGGTCTGCTCTGCTCTGCTGCAGAGATTTCTATGATATTTTTAATAAAAGTTCATAGCCAGCTGTACCTAGTGTCTTACAGACACTATTCACATTTGATGTGTTACATTTCCTCACCAAAATCTGTTGTATTTCAGGTCCACAAGCAGGTGCAGCTCAGGAGCACCGGGTAGGACCCCTTCTTGCAGCTTGTTTGGCACCCTTGAACTTGCTCACACAGGACGGGAGCGTCAGCCGGTCAACCCAGCAGCTTCTCCTGACATCTTCCATAGCTCTAGCTGTGCGAGGATAGAGGGAATGGCCACAAACTGAAGCACCAAAAGTTTTGCAGGAAATTATGGAAAAATTTATTGACGGGGAGGGTGACGGAGCCCAGGAACAGGCTGCCCGGGGAGGTTGTGGAGCCTCCTTTCTGGAGATCTTCAGAACCCGCTTGGATGCAGCCTGGGCTGCATGCTCCAGGTGACCCGGCATGCGCAGCGGCTTGGACTGGGTGATCTCCAGAGGTCCCTGCCAACCTTCAGGGTTCTGGGATTCTGTGCTGCAAGCAGCGGCCTTGGTGAGGAATGTTTCCTGCATCCCCAATTCCCACTGCTCCTGCTTGCATCCCACACCAGTGCCCGGAACCTTTCAGCACAAGGGCCGTGGTGGCCGAGAGCAGCGGCCGGGCCCGGCGCCTCCGGGCTCCCCTGCGACGCGGCGAGGCCTCCGCGCGCGCCTGKGTTGGGCAACGGGAGCCGAGGCGCTTTCCTAAGCGCGGGGCAAGGGGAAGTTCCGCTTCCCGCTGCCCGTTCCCGCGCGGCCTCCCTGCCGGCGCCGCCGCTCTCGGCTCGCGGGCGGCACCGGGTCTGCGGCTGAGGCGGCAGCCCCCRCGCAGGGGCTCCCGGCGCAGGGCCCCGGCTCTCGCCCCACGTAGCCCGGCACCACCTGCTCATTTCGCAACCAGCACCACCTCCAGGCACCGCAGTCAGGATTGCAGCTAAATCTGGGGCCCCGTGGGGACGCGGCTCCGCTCCATGCGTCCCGCAAGGGTGCCTCAAGGTCACCTCCGAGAGGCCTCCCCGCACACCCAGGGTTCGCTCCGCAACCCGGCCCGGAGCCTCCGCAGACACCGGCCCTCCCGCCGCTTCCCGGGCGGCACCGACCCTCTCTGGCCCAGTCCCCTGGCGTCCCCGCGGCGCTGGGTGGCACTGCGGCCCTGCAGTCCCGCCAGGGAACCCGCCCCGGGGCACCCATGGGGGCATCTCCCCCACACGCAGCCCCTCGGAGCGCTCGCCCGGGGCCTCGCCAGGCCCGGCGGGGCAGGAGGCAGCGGAGGCGGCAGGGCCRAAGCGCTCCCGCTTTCCCTGAGTAGGAAGTAGGAGCCCGCGAGCGCTGAGCCGCTGCYGCGGGGTTTTGGTGCCGAGCGCCCGGCCCGCATCACGCGCAGCGAGGGGGCACCCGGCCAGGGCCCTGAGAGGAAACCGGCGGCTCCRGGGTGCCCGGTGCCCTCTCCCAGCAGCTGTGGGTGCCACCAGACCTTCCCGAGGCCCCGACTGCCGAGTGGGGCTGCTCCRGCGCCACAGCCAGGGCTCCCGGGCAGCGGGAGGCACCGATGGGGCCGGGGCGCTGGGAAAGGCGCCAGGCCGGGTGCTTTTACCCTTCAAAGGGGCCCCGGGAGCCCGGGGAGCACCCAGCGCCTCTGCGGGCGCTGGCAGGGCCTGGAGAGGGTGAAGGGTCGGTCAGAGCCCAAAACCCAGCGGCGTCTGAGGCCTCTCCGCGCTGCCGCCCTGTCTGTCCTGCTCCCACCTGCTCCGCACGGCCCAGAACATCCCGCCGTGGGATGTATAGAAAGAAGAGAGCAAGGTGGAAAAGTGGGCGCATCCCAAAGGAAGCGGCAGCCGAGACAACAGCTGGAGCAGCAGCCTCGCGGACCGGAGGCTCCGCAGGCACCAGCACCGGGTCAGGTCRTGGGGAGCGCGGGGGCTCCCGGCCCCGTCCCAGGCGGGGGCCGAGCGCCGCTGCCCCCGCGGAGGCTCCTCGCGGCGCCCCGGCCGCTGCGGAGCCCGGCACTAAAGGCCGTTTGCTGGGCAGGCGGCGGCTCCCGCGCGGCGGGACGTGGCCGGACCCGCTCGGCTCCAGGTGTCCCGGCCCGGCCCTGGCAAAGGGCCCGAGGAGCCTTTTGGGCCGCGCGAGCCGTCGGTCAGCCCCGTGTGCGACTATCCCTGCTGCTCCCTCCGCACTAAAGCAGGGGCAGACGGAGCTCAAGGCTGCAAAAAGCAGCAGGAGGGACCAAAAAGAATYGGGATCTTTCTTTCCCATGGGAAATGCACCTAGATCCCATTTATAGCCCATTTGCCCTTATCCTTAGGTAGCTTCCCTGTGGGAATGGAAAACGTGCAAAAACTAAACGCGCTGCAAGGAAGCAGCACAGGGGCCTGTGCCGCAGGCGGCCGATAACCCGGCGGGACCGAGGCCGGTGAGCGGCACCCGCAGGGCCCGGCCTGGGCACCGCGACCAACACAGAGCCCGGGGGCTCCCGAGGGGGCTGCAAAAAGCCCAGCCARGCGCTTAGCTACTGCTCCGAGCAGCCTGCGCCCCGCACGTCCCACTGCCTTTGGCTGAAGGCGCAGCRGGTTTGCAGCGTCTCCTGTGTGCAGAGCTGCCCTTCAGCTCCCCCAGCTCCATCAGCAGCAGCGGGTGGAAACGCGGGAGCATAAACGGGCCCAGGGCGACAGCAACGTCACCGAGGGCTCCTCGGAGCTGCGGAGATGGCGCCCGCTCGCGTCTCGCTGCGGCGGCGGCACAAACGCCACACGACACTCCTGGCTGCCTGCTGACGGCTGCAGCACACAGCAGTTTATTTGGAGTGTTACAGGCAGTCGTACCCTGAATATAATGCGTCGGAAAATGTCCGTCCTGCTTTAGGACCATCGCAGCTGGAAGCAGGAGGTTGCTCCCCCTTCTGATGGGGAGACTGTCCTCTGTGCCGTGCGACACGGTGGGACCCGCCGCGGAGCCGAAGCTGCTCGGGCGCCTCTCGGCACCCAGGGCATCCCTGTGGATTGCGGGAGGGTGCAGGGGGTGCCCGGCGCTGCCGTGCGGGACGGCACAGGGCACCAACAGGACAGGGAGCAGTTCAATGCAAACGCACCGAGCGGTGCCAGGCTGGGACGGCCCGTGGTCAGAGCAGCGCGTTCGCGACAGCTCTAGCAGCCATAAATTCTGTTCTTGGGGCACTGGGCGGGCAAAGGAAGTTCATGGGGACAGACTCCGTACCCAGCAGGGAAGGGGCCGGAGCGACGCTGATGCTCTGGGCTCCACCGCCGCCAAACGCAGGCCCTGGGGGCAGCCCCACGTGCCAGGGACGAGCCCTGTGTGGGCAGCGGGAATCTCCCCAGCCTCCGAGCTGGGGCTGAGGCAYGAGGGGAGGCTGCAGGATGCGGCCCAGGGCCCTCGGCTGCCGCTGCAGGGCCACGAGCGCTGGCCACGCTGCGGCTGCGCTACGGGAGGAGGCCGCGCCGGGGGCACCGGCACTGCCTGCTCCGCTTGTCCTTGCGAGGATTTCTCCGCGGCTTCGTGACCGAGCTGCTGGAGCGGCCGCTGGGAAGGCTCCTCAAAGCTCCTCATCCCCTGTCTCCCTGCAGGCCTGTCCCGGGAGGAAAGGGGCTGGGAAACTCCCAAACGCAAGATGGACACAGGCTGGCACGGGGAGCTCGGCATCTCCTCAAGGCTGCTCTCGCAGTCCCTGCGGCTCCCTGCCCGGCTGGGAAGCAGAGCCGGGGCTCCGCGTGCGGGCGGCCGGGCGGGAGCTGGGGAGGCCGGGGAGACCGGGCCGCCCCCGCCATCCGCTGCCGCCTCCTGGCCCCGCGCGGCAGCAAATCCGGGCTCCTGCACGGCCTGGCCAGCGTGCCCAGGGGCAGGGCGGCTGCGGGGTCACCAGCAGGCGTAGGGGAACAGCGGGTACTGGCTCCACTCGGCCACGGCGCCGTGGGCATGTCCCGACGCGCCCTGCGCGTTGTAATCCGTGGAGAAGGCCGAGTAGCTCACGGCGCGGTACTGGCCGTGCGCGGGCACCATCCACTGGCCCAGGCCCTGCTCGGCGCCGTAGGGGCCGTACACGGGCGCGCGGGCGCCGCCTTTGCCCACGGCGTCCACGGCCACGTTGACGACGCCGGCGTAGTCCTGCGGCGGCGGCAGCGGCGGCGGCAGCAGGCTGGCGAAGGCCTCGGGCAGCTGCTTGGCCTCGTGCTCGGGCAGCAGCTCCAGCGCGTGGGGGCACCGCGGGCGCGGGTCCGCGAGCGCGGCCGCGTCGCGGGCGGGCGGCGCCTCCGCGGCCTCCTGGAAGCTGCGGCCGAGGGCAGAGAGGGGCGGTCAGTGCCGGGACACGGGCCCCGGGCAGGGCACGGAGCAGCCTTGGCCAGCGTGGTGGCCACAAGCTGCTGCCCRCGGCACCCCCACGGGGAAACGGCAGCGCCCGAGGGGGGCCCAGGMCGGCCCAGCGCTGCCCCAGCTCCCTCTGCGTCACGCTGGGATCAGCGGGGGGAACAAGGGGGGAACGTTCCCTCTTCAGCCCGGCCACCCCTCTGTGGGCACCGAGGTCTGCAGCAGGCAGAGCGGGCGGAGAGGGCACGCCGCACAGGGGGATGCAGAGCAATACCAGGAGATAGGAATGCCCAGAAAGTGGATTTAAAGTTAAAAGAGAGAGAAGAGGGGGAGAGAGAAAGAAGAGGGGGAGAGAGAAAGAAGAGGGGGAGAGAGAAAGAAGAGGGGGAGAGAGAAAGAAGAGGGGGAGAGAGAAAGAAGAGGGGGAGA